TTGAATAATTTGTAATAAATAACTAAATAAATAAATAAATAAAAATGTAATGATAAAATCTCCAGTCAAAGGATGAGGAATTAGCAAAGAAAAGAAAAAAAAAAAGAGAAAAAAAATGTAACAACTCTTTGGCTTCAGTACGATACCCAGATATGATAGTCAATCATATCTGAACTTTTGATTTTTTGCAAAGCTGATGTTGAAAATAAATAACAAGTTTTTCAAGGCTTGAGTTACTTCGGCAGAACACGTTAGTCGTTTTTTTTTTATCTTTGCTCTAGCGAATTTATTCACCAAACACAATCAAAGAGGGTCGTACAGGGGGTCTCTGGCACGGTTCACAAACGTAAAAAATAGAGGATCACAGATACATGTATAAAAATTTCGTTTTCCCGAATCACAAAAATAAGCAAGTAAGATACTCTTTTCAATAACCTCTCCTTACACTAGAAAGAGTGTTTGAAGAAAGCAAAATCGCGAAGACCAAGTCAAGGTTCCATACTGCAAATAGCATACCTAAGAGACTCTCGATAGATGACTTAAACCATTCGGAGGATTCGCGTCTCAAAATCATGAAGAATAGAGTGGTAAAATCACGAATATCGGTTAATAATTCAAGTTCTTCACGGGTCACGCAAAACCTTCAGGTCACGAATCACTAAGAATAATTTCCTAAATTCACGTTTCACGGAAAATAAAATCAGCTAATCACGCATCACAAGAATGCCACTGTACAACCCTCGTGAAACGCAATCCACTGGATGACTGGATTGTGTTTGAGTTCAATCGAACATAACCTAATAGATTGAGTTTGATTGGGTTTGATTTGCGTGATTGAATTCGATTGCTTCAGAAATCGAACTCACACAAAGTGCGGTGTTTGATTTCATTCGATTGCCAAATTCAATTGAACTCAATCCATAGTTTCAGTTTGATTGAGTTCGATTTCCAAACGTTCGATTGACTCCCGCGCGCGAGGATCGACGTTTAGAACCCCTGGCCTGACCCTCGGGACTTGGATAATTTGCAATTTCTTGATGTTCAAGTGACATCAGTTCGGCAACAATGTCATCATGTTGGTGGATTACTAGTAAGCAAAATAAAAATTAATCAGCATCTGTTGTCAGTACCACAATCACACCCGCCACGCCTTCGTCAGTTCAGTCTCGGTGTATCGGGTCCCATTGATAGCGCTTTAGTCTTTTTTTACCGTTTCTTCTTACAGCACCAAAATGAGACTTCTCTGACCACTAGGATCAGTCTTGTAGCTTTTCAAAATGATATCAGTAAGTTTTTCTTACCTTCAAAAGCAAAAGATTCAACAAAGTGAGCTTTGAACACTGCTACACTTCAAACGACGATCCACAAACTAAGATGGAAGCGTTCATAACTGACGCTAGAAAATGACGCTAGCACCCAGTCCACTCTGGTTAAACATTAGCGTTATTAGCATTCAAAAGTAAAATTAAATAGCGATGGACTGGACTGGACTTTTTTCCTCTGAACGACTAAATCGAGAAAAAGGGGAACTGCTGAAAACGCAAACCGTTAAACGGCAAAGAGAGATAAATAACCATGCCCAAATGATGTGAAAATTAAACACATTTCTAAAAAATTACAAATTCTTTTTTAATAATTTTGCAATGAATGGTTTCATAGCTGGACATGTTATGAAACAGAGCACAGACAACTGAGTAAAAGCTTTTTTCCATCTTCCATGAAGAAATGTGCAAACCTTCTCTGCAATTGCTAAGAACCAACCATACAAAACTATTGTGATGCCATTCTGAGAGAATGCAAGCAGTGTATTACTGTATAAAATAAACTTTAAAATATCATTGCCAAGAGACTGATGCAAATAAACAATTCAATCTTACAGCATTTTTGCTGTATGGATATTCATAGTACAAATTTGACCCAATTTATTGTTTCCTTTACAAAAAAAATGTGGTTCTCATTCCCAATCTTATTCCATGTGTGATTGTAGTACTATGCAAATTACTACTGAAGACTGGTATCAGGGTTCAAGCCCTGGCTGGGGTAATTATGTTCTGTTTCTGGGCAAGACTCGTAGTACTCTGTCGTGCTCCTTTCCTCCCAGACACACAAATGATACCAGCGTAACTAATACCACAGGTAGAACTATAATTGCCTGATTTCAAGCCGAAAAGGAC